CCTTTTTAGGGGGGGAGATGTACTTATCTCGGTAGTTTTCGAGTATTACCTTTTAGAGATGCATCGCGAGCTGATTCAAAAAATCGATTCACTTTACTGAGCGGGTTAATGCTGATTCTCCAGAAAAGAGTTCTAGTTCTTTAACAGTTCAGTCGCAGGAAGGTCTTGTTGGAAGAGTGCAGGAAAGTTCGATTCCTATTTTAACTTAGGAAAGACCGATTATCGTCTCATGTTAAAAATAAGTTTAATTTTTATCATTTCTAACATTTTGAAATTTTTTAGTTTAGAATTTTATTGCTATTTCTGTGTAGAAAAAAATAATTTTGAGAATCTCATGATTGCAATCGAAATAAAACAGTGCACAGGGTTCGAAGTTTGATTGACTTAATTTTTCCAATCCCACTTCTCGTTTGATTATTTTTTTCTCGACTCTATCCTCGCTTGCCGTTATCAATCCCACTGCTTTTTCGTTTCTTTCCGCTCTTCGTTCTATCCTCGCTAAACGTTCCTGATTTACACTTAGTTCGCGATCTCTTTTATCAAGATTGTTGTTAGTGAGCAATGAATCATAAAAAAGAACCGATTCAGTTCAATGATCGAACAGTTCTGATCTGATCCCATTAGAGAGCGGTTTTGCCCATCTTTAATATCCTTCCAGGAAATATCCTTCACAGTTTTTATCTGCTATAGCAGACACTTATTTTGAATTACGAACTGAAGTGGTTTGAGAACGAATTGAGTTTTCTCAAATGAAGCTATAAAGCCTTTCAGACTCCCAAAAACATGTGTCAAAAATCCATCCAGATAAAAAGGTAGATATTTGCATTGTTTTCTTGCTCAAAAAGAAGTAAATCTTGCAAAATAAGCCTCAGTGGCAAATTTCATTTCAACAGCATCAAGCAAGAGGACGGTGGGTCTCGTATTTTTTATAATATTGTTTTATTTATTGCGAGAACAAGGAAACGGCACCTGTTGGAAAAGAACCGATTTTGCCAGCCATAAAGAGGTATTACTAGCATGATATACTATGAGTCACCAACCGAGATCATCAGAAAAATCCATTTGAGTGATGACCCAGTTCAAAGAAGACGAAATGCATGAAGCATTGAATTTCCATATAAAAACATCAAATTTTTCAATATGCATAACTGGTTGAGTCAACTTTTCTAGGGAATAAAGTTTTCTTGTTTGCATGCGTTTCGAAAGAATCAACAAATCTGTCAAGAGTTATTAATAGCCCAAACCTTACATACTAATATTAAAAGTAATAGTAATATCTCAAGTTATGAAACATTTTTTTAAAGCAGAACAAAACTACTTTGAAACAAATATTGTCAGTTACTGCTGATTGTCCTTCAGCAATAGCTGGATTTTACAATGATTTTACGGCATATTTGAAAGCAGAGGTGCAAGTGTATTGGCCCATACATTGTATTATTCACTAGTAACATCTGGTAGTGAAAAGTTTGAGAGAACGCTTAAACATTCACTAGTAACATCTGGTAGTGAAAAGTTTGAGAGAACGCTTAAACATTCACTTCATTTTTTCATCAGATCAATGAAAAAAATCTGAGATAATTCTTTGAATGCCAAATTATTTGGACAACTCTGTATTGAAAACCGTGAAGATTTTAATTTTTTGTTTCTTCATACGAAAGTTTGTTGGTTATAATAGGTAATTCGTTTAAGCCATTTTTCTTAAACTTTTCAATTTAATGCTGGAGTTTTTAAAAAATAAAGAGGCTGCTTAAGAGCAGACTTGATAAATTCAAAAACACGTATAACTAATCTGACAGATTTGATTAATAAATTCAATGAATCAAACTTTCAGCTCCTCGATGAAATTTTTGAGTTTATTGCAAAGCTTCAAACGTATAACAGAAACTTGGGAAGAATTTAGCCGCTTTAAAAATGTTTCAGGTGTAGAAAAACTGATGAAGGTATACTTGAATAATGCTAACATTTAGAAGCCCTGGAATGAAACTTCATGAAAAAATCGTACCCGATTAATATTTGGACCCATTTTACTGTTGTTTCAAAAATATCTCTGCACTTAAAAGAAGAATTTAATAAGCCAAGAGCAAATAAAGACAGGAAATGTAAATGTAGAACTAGATACCAATAATTTGGTCTACACAAGCAGATACCTGATAACCTGATTTATAGAATATGCTTCAGAGTTTTCTCATAGCAATTCCTTAGTCTAATTTATTTCAGTACAGTTACAGTTCTGAAAACTGTAACTATAGAAAATAAAAATAGCTGCAGATAACCAATCATAAATTTGTTAACGAGCCGATTATTTACAAACCGTCAGAATCCAGTTCATCTCAATTAAGCTTATTTTACTGCTAATTTAGTTCGTATTCTTACCCTATATAAAATTTAGTCAAAATTGACTGTGTGCAAATCACTCTCTGAAAATTTAGTTTATTTTAACTAACAATTTGGGTTTTGAATTGCATCATTATGTCATACCTTAACTTAGTTACGCAGCTCGTTTGCTCCAAATAGTTATACAGATTTTTGAGACGAGCGTAGGAGTAAAATTAGATTTTAACTGGAACCGTAGAAATTGTCAGAGGTTGTCTTTTGTATGAAGAGCGTGAGTCTAAACCTGTGCCTTGGTGTGGTGGACTAAGCGAGCGGCAACTCTGGATCCGCCAGAAATTAGCTGTTGGTAAATGTTGCTGTTTAGTCTTGCCCGGTGTAGCTGATTCCGGAGAAGTCCTGTCTAAAACGGTAAGCTGTTGAAAGTTTAGTAATGTTAAAATTAGATGGAAGTGTGGTTCCTCCTAGAGAAAAACTCAGTTGGGAATTTTTATCATCAACTTAATGTTTAATCAAGCAGACTGTCACTTGTATCTTTTACGTTAATTCTCAAAAAGACAATTATTTTTTTAAAAAATGAGTTGAAATTTTTTGCGCTCTTGTCTGCATGAACCTGAAATTTCACGTCCATCACGATAAGAAAATGTATTGGCAACTTAGAATCTACAGAGGAGCTAGCTTGTAAAATTACCAGCCCAAGCACGCTCAAATCTAACATTAGATGTCATAACTCAGCCTTATAGTGTTTTACTTTAATTTCTTACTTTGTAGAATGCATAGATGCGATTCCCAAGGAAACGCTGAGCATTCACCTTTTTCCTAAAAGTGGACGATAGGCCAAAAAAAACTTTAAAAAATAAATCTGAAAGTCTTCAGATTTTACATTATGCCCGAAGGGGAGTTTTTTTAACCTTTTGTGTGCTATCTTTATTTATTAAATATCATGTTCTTCGCACTTAAAACATAAAATTCAGTTCAACAGCAGTATAGCAAAATAATTTTTAAATGAGCACGTCTTTAGAATTTCCGATACACAGCGTCGCGCGCTGGAGATAAAAATATTTTGTTTTCGTACAGTGTTGCCATTCCTCGCTTTGAAATCGTTGAGTTTCTTAATCAAAAATTCTTTAATGTCTGACCAAATATGAAACAGATAATAAAACAAATTCTAAAAAAGGGCTTCCAGATGTCCATATTCGGTGGAGATTACGTTATTCAAAATTTGATGGCTCTAGGTACCGTTGTTTTATCACAATTCCTTCCTTCGAAATTAATAGCCCTTCCGGGCTAATGCCTTTGGGCTAAAAAAAAACAGAGCGAAACATTGAAAGGAATTTATATGAATGTGTATGGCATGTTTTCTTTCATGAGGCTACAGCAAAGCCTCGAGGGCTATCTGCTTAAGGGAAGATATGCCTTCGTGGAGGACTATCTAAAGGAAAGTGGCTCGTATACACGTTACACATGGGAAAAAGCATGAAAATGCCTGTTCGCGGAAGTCGAACCTCGTACCGAATTACCAGTGTTCAGAGATTTTACCGCTAGGCCGCTGATGAGCTTGTGTATGGCATGTTCATTAGCTTCTAAATGTTTTTTATTGTAATACAATAAACGTTTCACATGTATTCATCTAAATTAATTTAATAGCATTTTGAATATTGTACTCATTTCTCTTTGTATTATGTATTCTTTAAAAAAATAAACGGCAATATAAAATGCTTCGAAACAAGAACAAACGATCCGAATATTTGGAGTTCTTTTATATTTAAAACGAGATGACGCATTTAAATATTGTAAAATTAGGCATGAAATAAGTGTAACCAGTAGGAGAACGAAGTTTCCAGAGCTTGCTATAGTAGTTAGTATGTTTTTAATTTCGTTATAACACTTCTTTAGTCCTACCTGCTATTATAAAAGAAGTTTACTTAGACATAATAAAAATGTTTGCCATTCACCAAATTTCTCATTTCTATCCAATTGTCGTTTGGTTGCGATATGTATAACAATGTGCTGTGCGATTCATCGAGATAAGGTAACACGGGGCTATATAATCAAGAACTTCCCAGATAAATTTGTTGGTATGGTCCAGTCTCATGGCCGGTATAAGGATACCAAAAATATCCTTGTTAAAGGAACCAGTAAATAAGCAATTGGAATCGGCTTTGCTTGTTATTGGTTTCTTTAACATGTAGCATTTTCTTCAGCATTTTCTAAGTATTTATTTCTTTGGTGTGTTCTTTTGTGACATAAGGATAATCTGCTTTCTTGAGAGGATATGTCAAAGGCAATCGTAGTCGACAAACATTGCAGGGTTTAAAACACGAATAAAATAGGCAACTGAGGCTGTTTAGCTATCAATTTTAGTGCGTATTTGGGCTGAAACTGAGCATAGGTTAAATATGCCTCAAAACATATTTTACACATTATTGTTTAGTAATTGTATAGCACAAATCTTTAATTAGTGTAAAAAATATCTTTAAATTTCTATCATTTATACCTTTTCCACAATTAATTTTTAAAATGTGTCGAGGACTTTTAGAACACCGTATATATCTTTATGTTTTAAAGACATTATAGCTTTTCACGTGGCAAATGGGAAAAGGAAAATTTTTCATTTCCCATAACATTTTTTTCACATTTAAAGGAAAAAAGGAATAAAGAATATTTACCTGTTCTTGTAATCTATGTAGTGTTCAGTCAGTAATGTATTTGCATGTGCAGAAGATACGAATTCACTGTTTTCTCTACTTCTGGACTTGTGTTCAGAATCTGAGGAATTATGATCACTGCTGCAGCTCCAGTTGCCACTCGACGATTGGTCTTCCGATCTGTTATCATCATGTTGCCTCATTTCTACAGCAACGCTCATAGCAGCAGATACTGTAGAAATTGGAATATTGCTCTTTGATTTCTTCTTATTTGAAAAAGACACTTTAGGTGCACAGTCAGAGTTTTTATTCAGATCTAATTTTATCCCTCCATTTTTATCACAGGTTGTTTTGCTCTGTTGATGAGATCCATTGCACATCTTAACTGTATTAAGGTAATTCGAATCTTCAAAACAATTACTATCTGACGAATTATTATTTTTCTCATCATGTCCATTTTTCTTAACTGAATCATTTTCATTTTGTATTTCTGGACTGCAGTCAATTTCATTCTTATCTGATATTGTTTGAAACGATTTTATCGTATTATTCCGCCCTGAATGATGTTTTTCATCATTTATGATATTGTGAAGAACTTCTTTAATTTCTTTCGTATCACCTTCTGTTACTGTATTTCTTCTTTTATCTTTCTTCTTCTTTCTTTTTATCAAGAAATCTACCTAAATATTAAAATATAGGAACATTGTTATTCTACATCCAATAAAAGTACCTTTAAACAATTATTTAAATGCTCAATATTTTTTATTTAAAATGGCATAACTTGTTTGTTATGTTATTAAAGTTGCATATATGAATTACAGGTTCTTCAAACGTGAAATTTAGTTTCGAGTTTTCTTGGTCGACATTTTCTTCCATTTAAATACAAATGTATTACTGTAACATGAAACAATTATAACAAGTACAATAACTATACCAAGTACATTAGTGGCATACTTTATTAATAAGGGCTTATAAATGAGTCGAAAAGCATTTAATTATTGTATACTAAAAATATTTCTTAATTATGGTATGTTCAACTAAGAATATTTTATTCTTATGAGCAAAATGCACAGAATTGCAAAGTAAAAAATAAAAAATTTCTTTTGATATGTAGGTACTGATGACGACAAATTAGACAGAAGTGTTCGAAGACAGAAATTTTCTGAAGGTAAATGTTTCATATCTATGCTAAAAGAGAAAAAAACTACAAAACATCTTACGCATCCAGTCCATGCTTGCTGGCAGTCGAAATTACTTTTGTTAGAATTTTATCTATCCAGCTATATTGGCAAAAGCCTCTCCAAAATGATAATTCAGAAATTAATATTAACTAAACTTTTAACAATAAATTAAGAAACTTTACTCCAGGTGGCCATCTGTCGTAGTAGTTAACACATTCAGCCAGTAGTTAATGTTTGGAGTCGATTCCCAGAGACTGCACTTCTGAATCTTCACTCGCAGAAAACTTTAACGCTTAACGACTTTACAGTGGTGTCCGAACTAAAACCTGACGGTTCATAATCCTACACCCTCTTAATTTGTTCAACTAGGTCTTGCCTCCTTCTCCAGTCCCAGGTAATGTATAAGTATCGCAGTCTTCCCTTCCCTTTCCCCCGCCTGTGTGTGGAAGATTCAAGGAATTAAGACTTCTCTCCCGTGTTTCCTGTGGTATCCTGTTTAGGACATTTGGCTTTCATCTAAAAGGATTGATGACATCATGGTTGATTCTAAAACAGATAGATATTTCACACAAATTAGGGTTCTGGATCGGACCGTCTGCTATTGACTTTCTGAGTGAATCTGCTAATTATTTCTCATAACAATCTTTTGTGACATCTTATTTTTCTAGATGATTAACTTGCATTAAATGCGAATTTATTTTTAACAGTTTCTTCTACTGTAGATGAAATGAATGATCTGGGGGGGGCATATTTTATTAAAAGTTTCAAAGCCTACTCCTTCTGGACACTGTCGTAGAGGCTTTCTTTTCTAACTCGAGAATAATTTTCTGCGCTAACTGGTAGACTTCTTTTGTTAATAGGTCTAAATACAATTCCGTTTATCCGCTTGAGAACGCTTCTCTGCGGAATGAAAGTAATGAGAGTTAGAACAAAACTCAACAGTGACGGATGCTTTTTTTATTTTAACTCTAATAATTGGTTTGTTACGATATATTTAAATTAATTTTTGTAGTTTACCTACAAAAATGTTAGTTGATAATTTTCAAATGCTTTTATGTTTTGGCATATAATGCAGTTCTGAAGCGTAATATTCATACACATGCCTCGGCATATAATGCAGTTCTGAAGCGTAATATATGTGTAATATGTGAAAATAATAAAACGTATTATTTTCACACATTACTCATAATAAGTAAAAAAATAGATAGTTTATCCATACTTAGGCTCTTCCACTATATTTAGTAAACAAGTATTGTTTAGAGGTTCATTTTAATTTAAGAGAAATTCCAGGCTACCGTTATGAAATAAGGTATATTCAAAATAAATAACCTCAAATCGTGGAATGATAACTATTGTAGATTTCTAATAAATATTAGGTTGTTTCAGAAGAAATGGTCATTTTTAAAGTTGATAAGAAAAGAAAATGAAAATAATACCTGATTCCTTAAAACATTCTCCAGCAGCATCAATGCATTGTTGCCGATGTGTGGCAAAGTCATTTATACCATGTTTGTAAAAACCAGTGTCTCAGGAAGTGGCAAGTTCTCGACTGTGCGATAGGATCGATGCATTTTTGGCAAAGCATTTCTTGGAAAAAATGTGCCTAAGTCCCCGGAAAAAAAAACATAATCTGCTGGGTAAGGAGAGTATAGAACATGGTGCAGAATTTTGTATCTTAAGTTGTTGATTTGCTTGACACTGCTGTATGTGGTCAAGCTTTATCTTTAAACAATACGACTCCACGTATAGTCACAAATGCTGGTTGCTTCCATCACGGTTTGTTATGCATTTGTCACATATATATGCGATACTGAGATGCTTTTATCATTTCCCTTCATGGAAGGAATGGATATTGAATAACATCAGCAGAAGTTCACAATAAAATAAACAAAACCTTTTGATGCAAAAAAATCTTTGGAGCCCTTCCTGTTGCATCTTTCTCTCCCAGTCACTGCGACGAATGTGTACACGATTGTCGTAGAATATCCACAGTCATAATTCTTGCAGGAAACTTTTCTCTGCCGTTCTTATGATAGAAGAGCACACTTCCAAACGCCGTGTGTTGTTTTCTTCAGGGATTTCGTAAGGCACCCATTTATTATGTTTCTTTAATTTTCCTGTTTTTGCCAAGTGCCTTGAAACGGTTCAAAAGTGTACATTTATTATCTGAGAGATCTCTTGTACTGGTTGTTGTGGATGTGATGCGATTAAATCCATAAGTTCATTCAGATCAATAAAGGAAAGACGATGACCAAGCGTTTCTTTTGTAGCCTCGAATCTTCTGAGCAAAATTTTGCAGACGAACGAAGGGTGGATTTCTCACAAGTTGCTCTTCCACCAAATACTTTATTGGTAATTTTTACTGCAGCTGCTGCAGAATTTTCGATAAGTTATAAAATCAGACAGTCATAAAGTCACAGAAAACTGAACTCACTGGGCTACATGGCTTGATCTGATGCCGAAAGTATTCAGTCGTTGAAAGAAACAAAACAACTATATTTGCATCACCGACATAAAAATTTGAGTATTCTTAAGTGCTTGCGTTCTTCTGCAACCAGTGAAAAATCTGACCTCATTCAACCGCAGTTTCATTTGCAAGAGAAATTCGATATCAACAACATTAACAAAGAAGACATCATTGTTCTCCTTTTTCATCTTGTAGGCTTTTGACGACATTAAAAGGAATAATATGCTTTAAAGACTATAAAAATTTGAAGGTTTAGGTCTGTAGCCTGGAAGAGGAAAAAGTACCCTGATTTTTTATTGAATCAAATCTTTAATATAAAAAGCATAGCAACTTCTGCCCTAGTAATATTAAAGATTGCAAACAGAATATTTTTTTATAAAAAATACACTAATAAAATACAGCATTATTATGGCCAAGTTTGATGAAAATAGTAGTAAGAATAATTAGGTCTGTACATGACATATAAGTGAAATCAGCTATTTTTATATGATAGATGAATTTTTCGATCTGAGTTGTATATTTGTGTCATGCCGCCTTTCAGAACTTAATCCTTAGTTTCTGTACAGTATGAAAGATAGTATTATTAATTTGAGGATTTTTATCCCGGCAACCGACTACGACTGGGCTTATACTGTATAACACTAGTTTCCTCATTTTTAAACGTATGTTCATACTTATAACACACTCCTTCTATCCTGATTATAAAGATTTTATAGATTAAAAACGTTTCATTTGCCTTTCTTCAATTCTGGTTATATAAAGGGATAATAACTAATCCTTTGGCAGAACTGTTCGTAAATTTGCATGAAATTAAAAAAAAAAAAAATACAGGAAAATTTAATTTGTTTTTTAAAAATGATGTTTCACGAAAATAATCAGAAATTTGCTTCTCTGGGAAACTATAAATTTTATGTTCTATAGAAGGGATATTTAGTACTGAGCCACAATGTTACTTTTAGGAAATGACAAGAAAATGCTGTCGAAAATATCACAAGATATATATATATATGAGAATTTTATTTAGAAATTCATACAGGTTAGAAACTTGCTTCTGATTTTTCTGATCGATTTAAAAAAGACTTAAAGATATCTTTCTTTATGTCATCTTTTCATCTTAATCGTTAAATCAGAAAAATTTATAAGAATGTGTTAACAAGAATTTCTATTTTACTTACAGTTTTCAGATTCAAAATTCTTTAAGGAGTTACATAATTTGATTTTAGCAATATTTATTCTATTAACAATATTTATTCTGTTTAGTAGTGTTTATTATGCTAACTATTATTGTACTGGACTTCTTTTTCTTTTATAGCTGAAGCTCAAATATATTCCTTTCGCTGCTAATATGTTAATTTAGGCAAAGAAAATGCAGTGTAAAAGTGCTTACATGAATAAGTGATCTTCGAAAGCTGGCCATCCTGCTAAATGGTTGACCACTCACGTCGATGGGTATAACATTTGACGGAACTTTCACTGCAGATGACATTAGCGTGGAATCCAGATCACTGCTATTGATGCTGTTTTGAGACTTATGAAGATTCGAAATCTGAAAATTAAATATACAAAGATTATTTCTTAGAAAAATAAAGTCGCGTAATTCTTTATTTGTAACTTCAAATTAAAATTTATTAAGGATGTTTCTTAGAAATCAAAGATACACAACTGTTTATTTGTTTTAAAAATAGAATCATGGAATGAAAAGTACTTTCTTCTGTCGCCGAAATGTTTTACCAGCTTAATGAAATTGTAATATCAAAGGCTGTTATCATATCAGAACTGCAAAGTTAAAGGCATTGAAACCTTTATTTTTTATGACTAAAATATATATGAAAAACTATTTACAATAAATCATTAAAGAAACATCATTGTCACACTATTCGATTCTCACTTTTACACCCAGCTCCCAGGAACTGCTTTCTAAAAAAATCTCCATTGTTCGGTACGCTGATACGTTCGGAAGACTGATGGAAATATAAAACTGTATGATTTCTCAATGGCCTGGGCTAGACGTGTCACCGATTTCGGGGGAATCCTCGACATAAATCTTACATGCAATCTGTTCGTAAAGCTAAACTTTTCTTCTCAATTGCCCAGAATGGTGTATAATTCTAGACAACAAGTTACACATTTACAAAAAAGAAAAAAAAAAAAAAATATTGCATCCCATGCTCACTTGTGCCTGCCCAGTTTGAGCATACCCTTACAAAACTAATCGGAAGCAACTTCAAACTGTGTTAAATTGCATCCTAAGACAAATTCCCTGCTCCGCGTGGTATGTCAGTAATAATGTAATCTATGAAGAATCGGACATACCTCAATTTCGTTTCCACAACCTGGCACATAATTTCCATTTGAATCAGGAACTCAAACAATAATATCATTCCTTTCCGTAATTAGAATTCTGGTAACTATGTGAAGCGTCCAGTGGCCATCTTAAGCAAATTTGTAAATAACCCATTATGTTTCTGTATCTTGTTCCCTGCACCATACAAATTCTGTACCATTTCATAGCTTGGTGTTCTGTGAATGTTGCCTTAAATTGTTCCACTTGCTTGTATAACACCTACATGCTTTTACACCCAGTTTTAAGAACACTTAAAGAACTTTTAGCAGTAATGTCATGTCATGTCATCAGCTTATCACCGTCTGTTAAATTTTATGCGGGGACCATTGCTTATTTTTCGTTGAATTCTCAAGTAACTTCTTATCATCAACAATAATGAAAGTATAATATAAGGAGTTACTTGAGAATCCTCATTATTCTCAAGTAAGTCCTTTTCATTACTACAACATCAATCTCCTTATCCCGAATAGCCTTTTAGGGGCCAACGAAATAGTGTATGGGCTGAAGCAGTTATTTGGGTCATACAATATTTCGTAATAATCAGTTAATTTTGATGGAGGTTGGACGTCGATTCTGAGCCCTTCGACGGTAATACCACTTCTACTTTCGATACGCAGTGATTCGTCTCTGATTTCCCAGGGGCTATGGGAACATTTCTGAACGTTCACCAAGTGGACTTTGCTGGAACCTCATGGAAAGTCTAAACCTAACTGCTCACATGTGTGTAGAACACATTAAAATTCGCTGTCTTTACAATACGATACATATATATTCTTTGTGCCACCATCAAGTGTGTTTTGCAGTCACAAAAGCACTTCAAATATCGCCTCAATAGTCCTTCCAGTGAGTGCTGTTGTAATTAGATTGCATTCATTCATAATAAAATTTAGCTTTCTTTCGAATATATAAAACCAATCAAAAGAGAGGAGGGGGGAAAACTTGAGAGATTTTCTAAAGGAGAAAGTGAGTGAGTTATTCTTCATCAGGAATAAAAATTATTCTCGCAGGAGTTCACTGATCCTAAAATCATAAAATAATGTAAATTATAGTTAGCATAATTTATTGGATAGATGAGAAAACCACATTTATCAGGTCTATAAAAGTATTTGGATAGTGAGTACTAAAACTATTAACCAAAATGAATAGATTGTGGTAAATGTGAAAGGTGGGAAGAAAATTTAATTAATTATTTTAACATTCTAGGATAATTTTAGTACGGGCAAAATATGTCGAGAGATCAGGAATGAATAGCAATAACTGATTTATTAGATTCCTTAATTATCCAAATGTTTTTATTCACCTTTATTATCTTAAACATGTTTTTTTTTTTTTTCTTTTCAAAAGATATCTCTTGAGGTATTTGTATGATAGTCGATTTAGTCCGCCGACGCAGAATAATAATTTTTTGCTCCTGATAAGCAGCGACTAAAGCGTTCTCTCTGTTCTTTCCAGCTTTATATAAAACTTTTATCTTATGAACGTCAGTCAAAGGAAGTTTGCTGTTTAAAGTTGCCCATATATCTTTCCGACTTATTATACTACTGTTTTAATGATTGTTTTCTCTTCAATGGAATGAGAAAATTTTCTTCTTTTTCTAACTACACGTAAAAGGGCAGTTGACCGTTAACATTGTTCCACTGAGAATAAACATAATTAATTGTAACTTCTTTCAGCTTTCGCTTTCTTTCTGTTCATAATTCCTCTTCCCCATTTACATGAAGCACAATGTTTAAATACCCAGTTTTTGCACTGAAAAACAGAGAAAGCAATTTTTTTAAGAAGTTAAACACTGCAGAATTATGTTGAAAGGAATACTGCAGTGAAAAATAGCTTTGAAAGCGCACTAATCAACAAATGCCTAATGAAAATATTTAAATTTCGTAATCGGCAAATATTTAATAAATTTAAAACATAACTAATAATTAATAAACGAACAAATTTATTCAAACCAGTAAATTTTGACAAATATAAATATGTATTTAAAGAAGTTTAAGCTAATAAATTGCTTATCTTATTTTTTACGTAAATTTTAAGCCAGGCGAAGTTTTTTAGCTTAGCAAAGACGAAAAGAATAGAAGACTTTAAATACGCCCCCTTAAGAGCAGCTGAACATCTGTCGTAACTGCCCCCTGCATACACCCCCTTCTCGTGCCATCCGTGAGGGATCAGAAGGAAGAGAGGCCTTCTTACCTTGAGGGGTTGGCAGTATATGTGCGTTATCGTTGAGCTGGAACTGGAAACAGCGTCAGGTTCACCATCTGCTTCAGGTGCTACCTTGTTTGAGGGAATGAACGCGGGGGGTGATGGTCCATGGGCCAAATGACGCAGTCGTTCGACGGCTGTAGGTCGAGGAAACGTGAAGAATATGGAAGAATTATTAGCCTCCTTCTCATGACAGCTCACGTAGTTGTGGTGCTCCAGCTGATTGCCGGATAATGTAGAAACAGCTATAGAAAGAAAGAAGAATTATTATAAATTCAATTGCAAAGAAACGATATGTATATTGATCTGAAGAAAAAATGTAAATTGAGCAAGGATAAAATTTTGCGCTTTCACTACTTGGATACTTTGCGAGCAGGGAGTACATGAAAGGGAGAAAAAATTTAAATTCTTTGTCTTGAATTAAAGTTGCGCTCTTTGAAAATAATTTTAAAAGGCTCGTGATCTTGTTGATAAAGAGAAAGTACTGAACAGTGTAAAAGGAAAGAGAATGATTTTTAACTGAAGTAATAATAAGGGAAAACTGAAATTAAATAAGTTACTTCCCATTTGTAATATATTTGTAAAATGCCAAAAATAAGACTTTTTTTTTTTTTTTTTTTTTTTTTTTTTTTTTACGAAATAAATTATAATATCGAAGGAATCTTAGTGTTTGTAAATGATATCCCCCCACCTATGGCCGAGTTGTTAAGACAGTGAAAGTAGAAATTAGTTCTACTACCGAGGTTAAGAATACTTACCGCTGAATACTTACTTACCGCTGAATATTATGACTTCGACCAGGGTTCGATCCCAGGCAAACGATTTGGCTGCAAAATTGATTTTTCTAATTTTCCCCATGCGTAATACAAACTAACCCTTCTCCCTTACAAAGTCGTTCGCCAATTTGTCCACCAGCGGCCGAGCTGTAAAGTCGCTAAACACTGGTAGTTCCCCCGGGATTCGGATCCCAGCGAACGGGTTGGCTGCAAAGACGTTTTCGCTGTCCCCCCCATGTGTAACTTATAGACTAGCCAATTTCCCTTCGAAAGTCCTCCACGAAGGCATTCCTTCCCTTAGGCAGATAGCCTTCGAATGCTTTGTCATAATCAAAATACACCAAATCTTCGCGAAGGCATCCATCCCCTTAGGCAGATAGACCGCTTGTGCTTTACCATATTTCAGTAACCGTGTAAACTGTACTTACCTTCTGCTGACGAAAGATAAACTTGCTGGATACAGCTTACTGATCAGATAATTTCTAACTTCTAAAATATACTAAGCATTGCGAGCCGCGTGTTGTGCAACCACACCGCTTTGATACTCCATGCTTGTGAGTTTTACTTTGTTGTAAATCCCTCACTATGACCTTTTCTAAATTTCATGCTGAAAGAAGTCTTTAATTTTAAAACAAAGTGTAAATTTTTATGTTCTAGTTACGGAATATATTGAAATGTTACGCAAATGATAAAAATGGCGTTAAGCGCCCGGGTGCCTGGGTAAGAGACCCTACCCCAAATCGAGTATAATTGAACTTGCGAATTATTACTAATGAATAACTTACACAGTAATCAAGCGATGAGTTTAGAATGTTAAGAGATTGCACAATGTTCATAATAGTTTTTTCTGTTAAATAAAAGCTGCTCGAGCTGGTGAAGTGATTGGCAAATGGTGAAAAGCACAAACAAAAATTGCTGTCCTGCGCATTGAACCGATGTAAGGATCTGAAAAGGAGGAGGATTTAAGAGGAGTTCTGATTCAAGAGAGGAAAAATCAGGGATAAATAGAAAGGGTTAGTTCATTCCTTTGTTTTTAAATTGTCTGTTGTAAAGTATCATTTATGTAATATAGCTTTTTGCGCTGTAGCAAAGTGCCGTAACACTTACAGAAATACGAAAGGAAGAGATATTGTAGTTCATGCTTTCCCAAAGGACAGTTTGCTTTTGACGAAAGAATGGATTCATAAATGTCAAAGACAAGA